AAGTTAGTAAAATGTGTGACTAAACGTTAAGCAGTGGCTTTATTCCGAAAGAAAGTGACGTTAAAAGGGTACTAAAAGCTTATCAAAATAAATTGACACTACAAAACAACAAGAGAATCAGAGCATAAATCTAAACAGAGCCAGAAAAGCAAACAAACATTCTAAAGCTAAAAGACCAAACAAAAAGGTACTTTTTCAAATAAGCACCTGCCAAAATAATCCGACAAAGACTCAACTTTTATGGAAGTTTCCACGATCATTCCAACTAGCTTATGAGTTCAGATCAGAGCAATCTCTAAAATAATCTAAACCAGTAAAGCAGATTCTAAAACTGTGAACCACATTTTCAGCTTAAAAACGAAAACCAAACATGTAGATCAAGTTGTACATTGTGCCCCATAAGTTCATTCCTAAAATTATCTCCCAAGCAGAGCATAGACTAAACGTGTAGCTTTATGTTTTGATGCAATGTTAGATCATATATACCTCGAGGCAACGGAGTCTTGGGTAGCGTTTGTGAATCCGTCAACGGCAAGGTGATGTGCTAGCTTGCTGATTGTCTTAGAGCTTGCCTGCAAAAACCCAAATCAAAAGCTCAATAATGTCCAAATGGTCAAAGTGTTTGGATGAGCAGATTTACACACCTTAAGAAGAGCAAAGACAGCACTTTCCAACCATTTCTTACGAATACAGAAGTCCCGAGTAACTATACCCGCTTCTTGAATCCGTGACGCCAGATTCGAGAAACGTGAAAGTTTTCGCAGCTTCTTTATCCACAAACCCAACTGCAGCTCCAACCGGCCTGCGTGTGGTCAAACCCGTGTGATCTAGTACTCGCTCTTTTGAACACCCCGTAAACCGAGTAATGTGTCCCCTTACCAGTGTTCCCCTTATAGCAAAAGGCTGTAAAACATGTATCATTAAATATCAGGGTAAACCATTACCAGTGATGACAAGCTCCTAATTCATAAGTTCAACTGAGAGACTTTGAGTTTACCGCTAAAAACCTAGAAGTAACTCATATTATCAAGTTACAGATGAAACTTAAGACTACGACATAAATCCTTTAGTCAATATGCACCTGAGAAAGTGAATGAAGATGATATACCTGTTTTGCTGCCTTCCGTAGTCCTTGTGCTCTAATACTCGGCTTCTTAGGACTGGCTTTGGGTTTCATCTAAGAGATTAATAGATCAAAGAAAGGTTTAGATAGGGAGAGAGGTAAAGAGAAAACACAGGGTGCACTTGTCAACAGATTTACTTTTTTCTTGAGAGGGAAGGACGTCCAATGTACTTGAAGCTGGAATTTCAAACAAGGTATGCAAAATATGGTCAACTTGGTAGCAAAACTTAACATGAATTAACCATTTCTGCTGCAAATGCAAATGCACAAAACAGAGACACAGTAGCTGAACACTCTTCAAAGTACGATGGAAAACTAGCATCTAAGGTTTTCTACAAGCACAAGGTCTACTTTTAGTTTTGTGTTTGAGCTTTTCTTCACAATTTTGAGACAAAAGCTCAAGCTAGACCATAGAAACTGATCACATGCCAATGTGTGGTGAATGCATATATCTTTTTAAGCAGGCAAAGCTTCCTTTCCTTCTAAACGAGATAAACAATAACAAAGACTTACTTGGGCTTGTGGCTAATTCTGTTGCTCCACTTCATTATTTTTTGCAGGAGTTGCAGCATCAGATGCTTTAGCAGACCTCTGAATAGAAGCTCTTACATCTTTGAACAAACCAAACTCCTCACTGTTCTCCACAGTGCAGTCACTTTGAAATGCAGAGATAGATTCTGTCGATCTATTAGTATCTTCTTCAATGGCAGTAAAGACTTCATTCCACTCTTATGATTGCTCTCCATCATGCAGGACAATTCTTCAGGTTCCAAAACACCTGATTACGACAATATATCACTCAGCAAAAGTGAGCAAAAATACACAGAAACTACTAAAAAAACTGAAAAGTAACAAAAAGGTACCTCATCCAAAACTCACTTACCTGAACTCGTGAAGAACGCATTGTCCCAGGAAAGACTTACACGCAAGTTATACTTGCCACTCTTCATCACTTTCTGAGGTTCAGGCGACTCGTGAGGTTGAAGCACCCCTTCCTTCTCGTCTACTGAAGAGACCAAAATGTTCTCATAAGCCCAAAATGTAAGCACAACGCAAAGCAATCTACAACATACAATTAAAATGCAGATGCTAGCTCTCTACAAAATTTAACAGTTGCCTTCCAATGTAGAATGGATCTAAGTTTCGAGTCTAAGTCCTGCATCAAACACTGAAACCCACCGTAATCTAATCACCATGAACACTAAAGAAATCTAAAATTCCCACCTTGAACTTCTCCAAGTATCTATCTTTCTCTAATTCTACCTGATAACGCATCTATAATCAAGCAGATTCGGGAAATTAAACAACACCCAGAACCCAATTGAAAACGAAATCCGAAAATCAAAAGGAGAATGCAGAGAGAGATTGTAAATTACCGGAAAACTCGTAGCTTGTAGGGTCGAGAAACGAGGAGAAGAGGAGACTATCGTCCTCATAAGCGACATCAATCAGACCAACCCCATCGACCTCGACCTAGACCTCCTTTTCCTTGGCCTCGTCGTTGTCTTCCATGAACAAAAATGGACGAAAAATCAAAAATGTCGAAACTTTATGCTCTTGCTCAGGATCCCAGTGACTG